AGATTTTTACAAAATCAATTTTTAATTTGGAGATCATATAGTTCGTAATAAATTTCAATAATTTTATCGTTATTTTCTTTTCATGTATTTAAAAAAAGAAAAGCCCTGTGTATTTTCTTTTCATATTCTCTATTGATGGATGTATGGTGATTTGATAGAATTACCAGGTTTGAATTTTTTTAATTTTAAAAATATCATTATATTATAATAATTTATTAAAAAAAAAAACTTATTAACATTTTGATCTATTCTAAAAAGTACAAAGGCCCTCTGTAGCTTTACTAGATAGTGAGAAAGATTTTAGGATGTTATCTAGAAATGAAGAAGATCTGTCAGGGTGAGAAGCTGGTATTATATGCACTCAATAAAGAGCCAATAGTGATTAATCCAAATAAGATTTAGGTATGAGATTCAGGGGTAATTTCACTGCAGTTGATGGATGATAAAAAATGTAGAAAAAAAATGCACTTTTAAAATTACAAATAAAAATGATCAGCAAGTATTTCTTTAGTCCTTGTATGATCATTAAAATATAATACTTTTTATGCATAATTATAATAATCAATATTAGAATTTAATAGGAAAAGAGCCATGACGAAGAAAAAAGAAGTTGCTGATATGGATCCACTGTATAATAATTTATCCTCGGAACCAAAAAATTTCTTAGACTGTGACCGGTCAAAGTTGGTATAATTTAGATAATTATTCACAACAGTAAAAAAAAAATAATAGATTTTTTTGAATGTAATCTTTAATCACTTGCTTATTTACATTTATTTTTAGACCGGATGCATTTAATACTGGGCACAGACATAAAGAACTAGAGCAACTATGTAGATGGCTATCGGAAGTACCCTAGACAAAACTGGAAATTAATTGTCTGGAATGTCATATGCAATTTAAATTAAATGAATGAAACTTTTTTGTTTTAAATAAGTTATTAATAATATGTATATGACCTTTTAAGTCCATGCCAATTGTGGAAAGAAAAAGAATAGACCACTGTTTGCGTTTGGGAATGGGGCGCAGTGAAAACGAAAGGCTTTAGTATTTTACCTGTGAAGGTATTTTAATACATATTTATTTGTAGTTTCTAATTCGTTTCCTATACATTAGAAATTGATGATTCATTTTTCTAGCGGTTCACGAAGCCCCTGTCTAAAAAAAGTTTTGTTGTAACAATTGATGAATTTAGAACATCAAAAAACTCCGTCTCTATTGTTGCAACTAATTTAATAATATCTTTGTCCAAAAAACATAATACCACACAGGTAAATTTTGAGAAATACTTGGCAAAACAAAAACACTCATAAATAAAATTAACACATAATAATTAAATCTTTATTAGGACTAAAAAATCAGAACAAAGAGAAAATTTGCTGTATTAATGACATTAGGGCTATCCTTCACACAACAAGTTCTTGTCCAGATGCTATTGGTATATTATTATTTACTATTATTTTATTTGTGGAATTTGTTTTATTTTTAGATTCAAGACAAGTTTGGGTTATGCAGTTCAGACAAAGGTCATACTCCACCCTATATCAGAAATGGATATTGATTGAGTCATAACTGTAAAAATGCTTAAAATAATTTACATTTTCTCAATCACTTACAATTGGCGTTCGATACTTGATTTTATAAATCAAAATTTCTTATATGGTATAATAGGTTCAAAATCCTATTATAAAATTCCGGGCATCCAGATAAAGCCATTTTCCGGTTACGCGTGTATAAATTTGGATTAAATTTTACTTATACAATTTCTCATTCGAATCATTATTATTACAAAATATCAATTCACAACAAATTCTATATGGTTATTGTTATTATTGTTAAGGGATTGTAAAATTACAAATAAGGTCATATTTCCTTTAACAAGATAAATGGTTACTAGTACTATGACCTAAGAAAAGAAAAGAAAATGAAATGGTCAATTACTTCTGGTACCATTATTTATTATTATTGTCACTATATATAAGGACCACAAAGGAAAAATGGATTGATAAAGAAAAAATAATTTAATTGGATTGGATTAGCAATGTGAATAAATGGTATTATTTTATTCAAATTGTTTTATTCGAATAACTTTCAATGTAATTCGAATACTCAAAATATAAAATGAAATTTTTTTTTGGTTCGATATTTTTTTGAAGATTTCCAGTAAAATTTTCCCAAACTGGGTATTACCCCGATATTTTTTGATCACACACCCTGTTACCGTATAATTTATACACGCGTAACCGGAAAATGGCTTTTTAAGTAACATTGAAAAAACATCATAGCTTTGAAATGAAAAGTAATGCTGTTTTCGAATAACAATAATTTCACAAAGCATTCGCTCATTTTATGATGTTTGAGCTTGTTATAAAAATAAATATAAATGAATCTCTTTTCAGGTAGACGGCTGGCATATTGTGTAACAATTAGACGTCATACAGGATGACCAAATTTTTTTTAATTTGATAGATAATATTAAATGTTATTATGCAGACCCTCTAATTCTTGTACGATACACCATTTAAGTTTCGTCCACTCTGGCATGCTATAAAAAAAGGATAACAACGGACTACATACCTAGAATGACAAAATTGTGGACCAGTTGAAGTTACTACTAAATATTGCAAAGAAGAACGTCGTAATTATGTAATTATGTAAGCCGAGGAGAAGTAGACTGCCACGTAGTAAAGAATGTTGTAAATATGATTCATCGGATCAATAATGATACGAGAGGATATGGTGATTATAGTGATGTTGGTAGATATGGTTCTCAAATGATTATGCAATGTCTGCTACTAACTAATGCCATTGACATTAAAAGTGAATATGGTTGGATTAAAGCGGCTGATCTAGTTTGGGGTGTGTGTGAAATTCTCTTATGATCCAATGACAGCAACAACAACAATCGAAGACGATTATAAGATATTTTGGAGGAGAGATGTCATCCAATGATACCAGAAAATGAAATGCTCTCTGTTACCCAATTTGATATAACAACATGAGATATTAGCATCTACATGGGATAATGGTATGATAATATTCGTCAAACATTTTTAAAGAAAATAGGTTTATTTATTTATAACACAAATTCATGTGTAAATATATACAACAAACAAGTAATTAAAGTAATTAAATAAATGTAACAAATAATAATTTAACAATTTCTATAATTAGAATAATAATAAATTATATAATGCTATAAAAAAACTATCTTTTTCCTTTCCATCCCTTCAAAATCAAATATCTTCTTTCCCATTCATTCAAATTAAAAAATCAAAATCAAATCAAAAATGTATAACAAAAAATTATCAACAACTTTTTTACTCCTCGTTGTATTATTGGCAATGGCTGCTATCATAAACGCATTACCTGCTCCTCAAGAAGTTGATCCCAAAGAAGCATTTGAAAATCCTCCATACGGCAAATAAATTGGTGAAATACGAAAAGAAAAATATTTAACCTGAAGAAGAAATTGAAATAATATGAATAATATGCAAGAAATAATTTTTTGCTATTTTTAAATTATTACAATTAAGAAGCAAACAATTAATATTTGTTAATTTTTTTTTTTTTTACAATTATTTTTGTTTTTGTTTTTGATTGCTTTTTTTCCTTCTATTATTATTAATTATGTATTTTTTAATTTAATATATAATAAACAATCATTTAAACAATTGTATTTATTTATAATATAAAAAAGAAGAGCGCTAATTCCAATCTGCCACAACAAAATCAGCTTCTTTCTCGGCCTCTGTGCCATACCTTTCACGAATATATTCTCGTAATTTCTTATTTTCGATTTCAAATTGTTGAAGTTTATTAAACGTATCATGTTCGTTTAATTTTAAAGTCGAGCTACTACTGCCACTATTACTGCTATCACCATTATTATAGTTACTATTACTATTCATAAAGAAAAATCCATTATTATCAGCAATATTATTATTAGAAGAGTAAGAATAACGGAAATCACAATAATCTGTAATATCATTTGTTGATATTGGAATGTTCTGTGTTGTGGAAGTGGCTGGGGTGACTGGAGTTGACAATTGATAATATTCTTGATTCCATTGATTTGAATGATTTGAAATTTGTGGAAAATAACTATTTTGTCGCTGATTTTGTTGATAGGAAGAAGATGGGTGAGGGGAAGAATGTAAAAGTGGAGGTGTTTGCGATGGTAAAGATTTTGTCGTGGTGTTTTTATTATTTGTAGATGAATAATAAAGTTTAACACTTGGTAAAGAAATGCAACTATTTAATTTACGTTGACGAACTTTCTGTTCCTGTTGTTGTTGTTGAGAATCATTTTCACTATTATCATTATTAGTATTACCATTCTCAGTACTATTATCCGAAGAAGAGGATAAAGTTGCTGTTTGCTGATTTTGTTTTGTTAATAATAAATTTTTAAAAGTTTTTGTGTGAATTGCGTGTTGATAAATATTTGTTTGACGTGTACGTGATTCTTCCAACGAAGATCTTCTGATAACTCTTTGTCTATTAGTATCATTCAATCTATTTGTATTATTGTTATTGCTGATATATGAAGTTGGTAAATATGAATTATTATTAATGATATTTATAATTTATTTCATTATTATTTTTATTATCAGTATAAAAAGTCTCGCATTTCTCTTCCTCATATTCACCATCTTCACCCAAATCGTCATTACATTCATCCGAGTCATCATCATATACATCGCATTCATCCTCATTATTCTCATCAGTGTCATTGTCATAATTATTATTTTTATTTTTTAAAGAAGAAAAAGAAGAATGTGATGATGATAATGATGGTGATGATGATGATGAATTGGTGATGAAAGATGAACATGATGATAACAAGTCAGATTCTTTTAATCATTACAATAAAAATTATACTGTACGCGGTAGT